CTAATGGCAGTATGGCACCATTGAGTATCCTGCTATCCTTTTTTCCTCTCTTGAAGTCATTTGCATGCATGCATGGCTACCGTTCAAGTGAGCTGATCTGATTGTAGCATTATAGCCTAACCTAAGTGCATCCAAGAGTGGCCATAGATTCAAAGATGCATTCATGACTTTAGTTACAGCGATTTTTTTTCAAGTTGTCACTAAGGTCACACTCACAACATAGATTTCATTCCATGTGATCTGTATATAGTGCAACTATCTTTGCTCAAACATACCGATGGTATAATACAATAGTGGACATATGGCTTGTGCATATGATGCAAGTGCTCAATAGTGAAGGTTGATGACTTGATCAAGGAAGAAGGAGATTATTGTATATGGGACATTACATAGTCTCGTATGGATAGAAGGTGAAGATCGAAGCAAGGCTTGGGTGCGAAGGACTGTGTGCAAGCCAAAGGATTCTTTTGGTGGAGAGATTGTAACACCCTCGGTGTTACACCGTAAATCATTTACTAAAACATGTCATGAGCATCATGTTTATGTGTTAATGCAAGTGATAAAAGTGTGTAGATCAATTTCTATAACTCGAAGCGATCAACTAAAATGCGGAGCGAAAGTTGATTCTATAGTTATGTTATATCACTTAGGGTTTAAAACCAATTTTTATTAAGCAAAAATTCTATAAAACATGTGTGTGATACTTAAAAAAAGTTTGAAGTACAAACTTTGTAGATGGCAGTGAAATACTTGCGGTCGAAAAATGATATTACTAGCTAATATTTCCACTAGCTTAGAAATCGCAAATGGAAATCAAATTCAGCTTTAAAACTTAGAAATTTTCAAGTCTGCCGACTGCTAGACATTGCTGTGTTTAGTAATTTATTGTGAGAGATTGTGTTAAGGAGTAGGGTGGTATTATGGCTTGTTTTAGTAGCCTAATATACCCTCTAAGGTATAGCAAAAGTGGTTTGGGGATTGGATCAACGGTTTAGACGTCTCGAGCGCTTTAAAATCCGTGCATAACATGAACTCGGGTCGTCTTCTTATGTTGGGTGCAGTCACCGGTCCGTCCTGCCCCGACGTTGCGGCCTTAATAGCACATCTTGAATGGCTAAGATTCATAGTCTTTTCGTCAATATAACTCGGGAGATATGTTATCGAGAGAGATGTTATTTTAATGCCTTTCATGACACAATCTTTTGGCATGACACAACATGATAAATTTTAAGCTATGATTAGAATCTTGCCACGATGGGTTACATACAATCCATATCTTATGCCATGTTTGGGTCAATGGAAAATCGTCCATAACAATAGTCATTCAAGTAAACATAAGATTTGTCTTTCGGGCATGAAATGCGTAGCTATTTGTATAGTTATGAAAAGACAAATGTTGATAAACTAGACATTCTCGGCAACAATATTATTATTATTATCTTCTAAAATAGCACTAAAACTCATCATCGAATCTCGATATAATATCAACTATGCAGACTAATGATTGCCCGAAGAAAATTAGTATAATATTGCCAAAGATCGTGTTTGGGCTGGCACAACACAGAGACGACCTGGCTATGGTCTTGGCGTATCTCGCGTGAGCAAGACTAATAATATATGCAAATTTATTTGTTTCTCTCGAAGAATTTCTTGGTTCTAGTGCAAACTTACAGCAAATCTATCAGCCCACTCATATAGTAGTTAGCTCACCTATTACTCATTTGTTTCTCTCACAAAATTTCTTGGTTCTAGCACATAAGCTGGCTATAAACTCCACGCATAACTCTTTATTATACTTGCTGTTAAAAGCTATGCGATAGCTGGCGGCAGTGCCCATTCTAAGTTCTACCTCTACTACTACCAAAGGAGTTAAAATTTGCCTAAAAATATGAGCACCAAGAGAAAGAGACTAACCACGCTGTTATAGCAGGGTCAATAATAGAGCCAAGTGCTAGGTTATAATTGAAATCGTAAGAGCTAAGTTATATAATAGTTGTGGTCAATAATAGAGTCATGGTCAGGGGCTAGCTGTGGAAAGAGATTGGAAATGTTTTACTAGCCGACACTGACATTGGCAGCAGGCAGGCAGGACGGATCTGCTGCTCACCTAAACCTGCCGCTGAGCCGGCTGGCTGAAACTGAAAGCGACAACGTGACGAGGAGTCTGGAGCTCGAAACATCCGCGGATGCTGAGGTTTTCCCTTTCTCCTTTGTTGAAAACCGTACGCTAAGTACTGAAATCTGTCTCTGATGGATCGGATCAGATGGTGACCTCGTCAGGCCGGCGTCCAAATACTAGTAGTTTACTAATTAGACGACGAAGTTAATAAAGCTTGTGCTGATCTTCTTAGCCTCTGGCCAATCAGCAAGCACGCTAATCTGTTTTTGCTCTCTAGCTAGCTAGCTAGCTATAGCCGTCTTGCTAGCTGCTCAAGGTTACGTACGGTACGTGTCACGTATACATAGCCCTGCTGGCAGCTATGGTTACAAGTTGTAGTGAAAGCAAGTTTGACAGGTCCAGATCAAGACTTAAGCTTTGATTTCGGCCATCCTTGTGCTGCTCTTACTAGTTGCGAGTTTCCTGGTTAGACCGGCCAGATCATGTTTCACAGAGGAGCTTACTGAGCACCTCCCAGCTGGGCCAGCTTGCTTATAGTACATATGAAATTAAATTTATGTTTAAATTTGTATTTTGAATTTGAAGTGCCATGTTTGAATTTGCTAAGCTGATTATTGTGGTTGAAATATATGTATTACAAATATTAATCATTGAGTTATTGAGGTGAAATGATGCATATTCACGATCAATATGTTGGAATAAGGGAAAAATGAATAGGGGCTGAGTTTTAGGGTGGCGCTACTACAGTTGGGTGTAGAAATCAACCTCCCAAGGAGCCTCTATATATAGACAAGTAGAGGCCCTGATTTAGGGTTGTGCCCGAAGTGCTCTAAAGGAAATATGCCATACAAGGTAGTTATGTATGAGCGTTGAATCTGGTTGATGTGTTCTTTGTGTCATTATATTTGTCCATTAAGAAAAATGATCTACTATCGTGTCTAGCTAAATAATGAAGCCGCTCTGGCTTCATCATTTACAGATCCAACCCTAATTCAACATCACATATATTCAAAAGAACTAAATGATGCACACTTAAGAGAAGTAAAGCAATAACTCCGATTCAACATATAATGATTCATCATCACATAATCGATTCACTCCACAAGCAAGTGGATTCACAATAAAATCTTGAATTTGTGCTAGCAAATGAAACAAATAATTGGCAAAACAAGCAGCTCTTGTTGTGGTTATCGCCTACGTATAGTGAATTTTACCACCTCACAAAAGCACCACGAACATAGATCTATGCCAGTTCCCTCCATCGTCATTGCAAGGGAACCTCCATTGTGGTGTGCTTCCTTCTACCGATTATTCGCTTGGCAAAGACCTACCAAAAACCAAATCAACGAAATGCAAAATATTTGCATTCTTCAATTTGTATCATGCTACTATGCTTGGCAAGTGAAGCAAATCAACATATTATGCTTGGTACATGCCATCGCTATCGGTTCATGTATTGCCGGTTGTAATGTGGCAATTGTAAAGCTTGTTTCTCTAGTGCCACGCCTTCCCCCTACCACTTTGGTACCGCTAGGGCCATCGAAATCACATGCCACTATCGCGATGTGGTGGCGCCAGGGCTATCCTCAACTCCTCCCCCTTCACACATCACCCTTGAACCTTTATTCTTTCTTCTTATCCCCGATCTAGATCTCTTAACTTCCACCATTCACTCTGGTTTAGGTGTAGTTTGGTGTGTTATGCAATATAATGGTGCCACAACGTGGCTGACAATGACAATGACACATTGTATCCGACATGCTCCGCCTGCCTTGGAGGCTGCAACGTGGCTGACAGCAAGAATGGCACATTTTTGTAATGATCCTAAGTATGATATGATGCACCTTTGTAAGAGGATGTCTAAAGATAGAATTCTATCCATTTTTTGAAGAAAAAACTTAAACCCATTTTGCTCATCTTGTAGTAATCTTAGTTGTGACAGATGGTAATCACATTATAACTTACTCGCTCTATCCATTTCAAAATGTTGGTTGATTTAATTATCCTTCGTCAAAATTCTCTAAGTTTAACCAACTTAATTCATAGAAATGTAAGTATGTACAACATTATTTTAGTTTCATTAAATCCATCATAAACATATCCTAATAGTGTATTAATTTCAGGATGTAGATGTTAATATATTTTTTATACACATTTAGTTAAAGTTAGGTAACCTTGACATGGGATAAAAGCTGAAGTACCTACCATTTAGAATGGAGGAAGCACTATATATTACTAGCACATGTATGTTAGACTTTCCTTTGCACCAGGTAAGAAAATGCCATTGTTTCATTGTGCACCTGTCCAGCCCACGCTTTTCACCTCACACTTGGACCAGTGAAGTCAAAATGCATGTGTTTTGAATTTGGACCCGGTTAGATTATGTGGTGAAACCACATCAAATATGAACCATATATAGAGGAAAATAAATCTCATTAGCCTAGCTAGGACCATATTTCACGAGGTTTAATTGCTCATTATATTAGGTAACGATGATGTCACACGAGTAAATTAATATAGTCTCTCTAGTACATTGGGAACAAACAAATGACATCATATATATTTATAAAAAAACAAATAACACCATATATCCAATACCATGTATACTATATACGTCGGCATCGATACAATTGTTTTGACAACATAATACATCTGGGAAACTCTATAATTAATAAGGTCGATCTATCGTATATGTATATTCTCTCTGTATAAGAACCTATCACCTGCCATGCAGGTCCCACATGTCAGTTTGGTGTTTCGTTGGCGGGTTTCGTTCTCTGCTGTGGTGCTGCGTGGTGTGGTGGAGCTGCAGTGGACTCCCAACCAAAAAATCTAGCATGCACAGAACGAAGAACGAACAATACAGCGTCCTGCAAGTCTCCTAGGCATATGATCTAGTGTCATAGATGGAGAACACACTGGGGCTGGGGTCCGTCAGCTCCATCACCATCCTGCCAATGTCGTCCCAGCTGGACCCATCTTTGTAGTACATGTCGTCTAGCCCACCGGCAGCAGGGCTACTGAGCACTCTGTGGTGGAACGCGGCCATCGTCGGTGACGGCAGCGGCGCCGTGGCCGCTGCATGCAGCGCGTGGCTGTTCCACTGGGCCTGCTGAAGCTGCTGCTGCTGGCCGTAGCCGTAGCCGTAGTCGTAGTCGTCTATCACCGCCGGAGCTTGCAGCGGGGGCTGTGGCAGGTCGTTCGTGTACTCGTCCCCGGTGTCCGACTCGAGGCTGCCGGTGACGGAGCTAGACTCCCCGGGCTGCACGACGATGGCCGCGGCGGCGGACACCTTGCTGCCGGCGACCTGCTGCTGCGGGTGCTTCTTGTAGGTGAAGTTCCTCCTGAAGATCCAGCTGTTTACACTAAAATTAGAGAAGAAGAATGCGGGACTCCAAACTTCCAAGATTAAGTCATTAAAGAATCGATTGCATAAGGATTGATATCAGCTAATTCAGATGCGGCACTGGGATCGGCTCTGTTCGGATGACATCAGCAGATAACGTCAATGAGCTACAGTTGGCATCGGAAAAGACATATCGGACTCTACAAAAAGGAAAGATTAGGGTACAAAAAGGGAAAGTTATCTTAAGTTAGGAATGTGTTCTCTTATACTAAAGATTGTCATGAGTCGTACTTGAGTAGAATTCATGCTTAGGTTTCGGGTATAAATATTGGACCCCGGCTATTGTAAAAAGAACATCCAATCAATCTATACCAATTATTTTTTTTGCTTCACGCCAACCCTTAGGAGTTGGAGTAGTGTAGATCTCGATGAGTTCTTCAACAAGTAGGGTTGCATCGGTCCGGCCGATCTCCGGCTTGTCTGTAAATACCGTCATGGCTTATATTTCTGTTCGTAAGGCTGCATCGGTTAAGTTCGACCTCCACCGCGAGCTCTAGCATAAGCTAGTTATCGATCCTTATCTAGTTCAAGTACAGCTGCATCGGTTAAGTTCGACCTCCACTGCTCGAATTAGATTAAGGTCAAGTTATCGGCTCTACCTAAGGGTAGCATCCTTTTGGTAGATTCATTAAGTTACCGATCTTGCTGATATTCTTGTTGTCATTAGTTTTCAGCAATTTCAACCTGCCCGATCGAGATCGAACTAGATCGGCCTCACATCCTTTTAATCCATCGTTTATTTTGTTACATTGCGACGTTCCTTTCTCTAAACGATGGATTATGTTTCATCGGCCGTTCTGCTTCGATCTTGGTCGTGCATAGTACGCAGTCAAGGTATACCTGATCTTAAGAAGGTTTATTAGCTAGTTGAATCTGGTCCATAGCTCGCTATTATGGATGTATCGATCCGATCGATCCCCACTGTTAGTACTTTAGATCGGAGGATGCTAGCCGGTAGATTTGCTTTTGACCGGGTATGACCCTAGCTATTTGCTATGCCCGCATCGTCTAAAAAGTCGATCGCCTATGCTTTAACGCCTACAGTGTGTCTACATGATTCTATTAAATGTGAATAGATCTGTTTATTTTAATGGGTTGATTTGTTGTCTTTATCATGGCTGCCATCGATCCGGTCGAACCCCACTATTAAAGATAACAGGTTAGGTCTGATGAGTTCATAGATCTGTCCATGTTAAATAGTCGATTGTTCACATGTTGTAGTCCTTTTTTACCTGAATCGGCTATTTCAGCCGATTCGCTTGTACTTTCACACATATAGCATGTCTTTCAGAAAACCTGTCAATGTATAGACGGTTTTATGGATTCTTCGGTTTTAGTTTGTTATTATCATCATAGCTGGCATCGATCCGGTCGAACCTCACTGTTGATAGTAACAGATTAGATTCAGAGCGTTTGTAGATTCATTTGTACTAGACAGTCGATTTGTTCGCATGTTATATCCTTTCTCGTTAGATTCATCGGCTCAATGCTTTACACTGGTAATATCCACCAAGCTGATGATTTTACTTACATCTGCGTGCATTGTACTTGTCATTATAAAATCAATCACAACCCATGAACTTTTACAGTCCTTAATAGTCGATTCCTTAATCGCAACCCATGAGCGTATCGGCTGTTTAGTCGATTTTCCCATCTGGCTGCTCCCAAAATGGCACACTTGGAACTGTCTGGGCAAGACCGGCATGTTCCACCTTAAATTACTGACAAACTTTCTCTTCTTGTCAATTGCAGGTCAAATTGACTGGCACGCCTTCGAAAATTCACAGGATCGGCTGGTTCTGCATTGAAGCCAAGCGGATCTCCAGCCTTGCTCCATCAAGCACATCCTTTTGGCTTACTTTGTGCCAGGCGCATTGACATGTTTTTGCGCCGACACATGTTTTGGCACGCCCGGTGGGACCCCACAATCGTCATGGCGACTCACAACAACAGTGACATCCTTATGGTGCCTTATGAAGACCTACCCGATGAGGATAAAATTGTCATCAGTAAAGCTATAGAAGAATTTCAGAACAAGTGTTTCTTGTCCTACACGAAGACACGCGACAATAAAGTTATTCAGAAGTATCCACTAACAAGAGTTTTGTTGCATGAGCAGTCAGATACAGACGAAGCTGATAACAGACGTTTCTGCATAGATGTAGTAAACAAGTCTGTTCATGATGCCATGTTGCACCATAATACAACTTTCTTGAACACATTCCACAATACCATGAAAGAGGTGTTTCATGGATTTCCGATTGATCAGGTTGGGCTGGCTTATTATAACATTCCACATCCGTCAACTCAAGGGACTAATTAAGCCGGTACAAGCCATCAAGAAGCAGCACTAACTGGTGATGATGACGTCCAGGCAGTTCAGAGCTCATCTAAGCAAGTTCAAGGTGCCACTACTAATCAAATGCAAAATAGTCCTGGATAATCAGCGCAGGATGTGCAACACCCGACGGGGCAAGTTCAGAATTAAATGGTTAATTTTGGCACAGCAGGCCAGATACCGTCGTTGGCTCAAAAAATAGTGCCATCGGTTCAAAGGATTCGTAGAGATACAGATCCCAACATTTACAACCAGAGACTTCAAATAGTAAACTAGCAAAGGACCCAATAGATAGAGATTCTACAATGATATCATTATGGTACAGATTACAACACCCTTCATATGATTCCAAATCCAGGGTATCATGGTACCAGAAATTTTAATCCGCAGATGGGTCAACAATTGCAAAGAAATCTAGAGTCAAGCGATGATGAGTTGTTGCTCAGAGTGACTGAGATGATGAAGAATCAGTTCAGTTTGAAGCCAAAAGGGTAAACCTTTTCGTATGAACGTCCATATCCAGAGTGGTATGATTTGATCGCTCTTCCTACAAATTATAGGCTCTCAGAGTTTGCTAAGTTCACTGGCCAAGATAGGACAAGCACAATAGAACACGTCAGTCGAGTATCTTACACAGTTGGACAAAGCGTCCATTGAAGAGGCCCATCAAGTTCGTTTCTTCTCCTTGTCCCTGTCAGGACCAGCCTTCAGTTGATTTTCATTGTTGCTAGTTAATTCCATTACCAATTGGGCTAACCTAGAGTAGAAGTTTCATACATATTTTTATACAGGGATAAGAGAAAAGAAAATTACCGATTTGACGACCAGAAGGCAGAGGACTAATGAATCGGGCATCGAGTTTCTTCAGAGATTTCGAGAGACTAGAAATTTGTGCTTCTCATTGAACTTGACTGATGATCAGCTAGTTGCTTTGGCCGTTCAAGGAATATTACCAACGTGGAGAGAGAAGTTGCTGGGGCAAGAGTTTGACAATTTAGGTTAGTTGGCTCAACGAGTGGCAGCGCTCAATAGCCAATTCCAAAATATACGCAGAGATACCCGATTCCAGAAAAGTACCACAATTGCTGAAGCCTATAATCCATATTCAGTTGATGACGGCGATGAGGACGATGAAGAAGAAGAGATTGCTATGGCCGAATGGAATTAGGGTAAGAAGACAGTAATGGTGTCAAATCCTTGGGGAAGAGGAGTCAAAGAGAGCTATGATTTCAATGTCACAAAATCGAACAAGCTCTTCAATTTTTTGCTTGAGAAATGACAAATCAAGTTGCCTGCCAATCATGTTATGTTACCTCATGATCAGTTGAAGAATAAGAAGTTCTACAAGTTTCATAACGCTACTTCTCATTCTACTAACAAATGTAGAATTTTCCGGCAACATATACAGAGGGCTATTTAGCAAGGGAAGCTCAAATTTGATACACCTCGGAAAATGAAAGTTGATGATAATCCTTTCCCAAGAGATTAGAACATGGTTGATGCTAGGTTGCTCAAAGGGAAGACTAAACTCCTAACATCAACAAGGGCCAAAGAAGCTAGGACCATCGACCCAAAGATGCAAATATCGGCTGATGAGTATAGAGAGATTAAAAGATGTTGTGACCAACAGAAGAGCCGATACGAGCAGGGAGAGACGTCAAGGGATGGGACAATAAGGCCGTGTGTCATGTCTCGAATTTTGTTGAATAAATGGCAACGGTAGAAGGAAAAGGATTATCAACGTTGGTTAGAAGAGAAAGAATACCAGCGTCAGCAGGAGAAAGAGAGGTATGAAAGAAAAGCAAGCTGAATCACATTGAAATTGTCCTTTCTTCAGACATTGTTGGAATGAAGGTTTGAAATTGCCTACTAGAAATAATTGCCCAAAGTGTAGTGAGCAATATTGGGAGTTTAGGCAATCTCAAGCCAACCGCCGGTCTATCCATGCTCGAGATGAGTATCATCATAATAATTTGTATCGGTGCTTAAAAAATAGAAGTGTTCATGATCGGCATGGGAAGCGAGTTGTTGATCAAAACTAGGCTGATTATGAAGAAGATAATGAGGAAAAGTATGTTTGGCAGGAAGGGCAATGGTGTCCAGGAGGTTTCACAAGAAGCCAGAAAAGAAGGGTGCAACACCCAAGGAACAGAGAGCTAGAACAGACTCAGGCCACTGGAAGGCCTCAAGTGTGGCGTGCTAAACAAACAGCCGATAGGGGTCAACTATTGGCTAAGATTCAAATGGCTTTTCTATTGACGTCAGAATTAAGAGCTCTTGCAGACCAAGAAGTCTATTTAGATTTTGATGAATCCGAGTATGAGGAGATAGTTGCCAAGTTGATAGTTGTACATCAAGCTATATTCGATAAGCCAGTCAAGCATCGGCACTTAAAGGCTTTGTATGTAAAAGGTTTTTGTGATGGGAAGCTGATGAGCAAAATGTTGGTGGATGGAGCTGCTTCTGTCAATCTTATGCCTTATACTACTTTTCATAAACTTGGCAAGGGACCAGGAGA